GGTGTTGCAACCTAGAAGACACAAATTTGACTAACAAGTTATAAGTACATGAGTCCAAAAATTATGGAAAAGTAAAAGAAAAAATTTTTTAAAATTTAAACTTCAAAGTAAAACCATTCCCTGAAGTCTTCTATAAATTGAACAATAGTTTCACTTCATTAGTAAAGAGCATCTATCTTGCTCTGCTAGGAATATACCCCAAGGAAAACAGAACTGAGATACTAATGGAGATTTGTATACTGATGTTTATAACCGCATTATTCACAATAGCAACAACATGGAAACAGTCCAAATGTCCATCAACAAATGACTGGATTGAGAAATTGCGGTACATTCACATGATGGAATATTACACAGCACTAAGGAATAACAATTTTGAAAAATACTATATAATAATGGAAGAGGCTAGAGAGCATTATGTTGAGTGAACTAATTCAGGCATGTAAAAAACAAAAAACAAAACAAAACAAAAAAACCAAAACCCACCAAACTGTATTAAGACCATTATTGTAAAAACAAAAGGATAACCGGTAAGCTGTGTATGTATATCCAAACAGGTAAGGGGAAGGAGTTTTAGGGTTGAGGGAGAGTAAATGATGAAGTCACAGAGTTTGGTCGGTAGAGAAAAGAGGGGGAAAAAACCCAAGCAAATAAGTGTACATGAATACAAGAAAAACAAAGAATTGTACCCAAACCAATAAAAAAAAAAGACTGTCTGTCTTGAGCATTGTGATCTTTTAAAGAATTGTCTTTGTGGAATTATATCGGTAATAACAACTTGAAAGAATAAATAGAAAACACAAATATTTGCGTAGTAACTTTCTCCTTTGGAGGGTATGTCTTATAGCATATAATACAAGGGTATATATTATAGTATTATAAGAATTGATTCTGAAAGTACAACCTAGATTTTTTCATTTATTTTTTTTCTCTGATGAATTATTTCATACTTCTATAGCTATTGTGGATTCTGTCCCATGCAACTGAATCTTGAATAATACATGTCATTTGCTTTAAAAATACTGTACCTTTAGTGTTCTATTCCTTTCTTTCTAGTGCAATCAACTTATCCTTGAAAACCTTAGTAATATACTACAACCTTTAGAAAAATGTTCCCATACTTTTTCTGATCTAAATAATTTTCCTCAATGAGATGGATTAATTCAGTCACTGGGGATAGGTGTGTCGGAGACAATAAGATTGGCAAGAGATAGAGCCCGGTTTAGGGCTGTTGTACACAGGGCTGCTATGAGTCACAGGTGACTCAATGGCACATAACAACAACAAGAAGAAAAGTAGTGTATGAGCTCTGGTGGCCTAGAGGCAAGGAGCTGCACTGTAATCCCAAAGAACGCTGTTGGAGGCCACCACAGGCGAAGGATGGGCAATCCCCTCCCATGTGATTGATATCCACCAAAGGGTCAGCTAGGAGTCGGTTCTGACTCGATGGCACACAACAACAACAACATAGAAATTTATATCCTTGTTAATATTATAATGACAAAATGATAATATATTTTTGTTAATTTATACTTCCCTTATTTTCCCCATTATTTACTATGCAATAGTTAAATGCCAGGAGTATGTTTTACTCATCTTGGATTCTCTAAGGTTTTATGGTTGCAAGATCTCAGTAAGCACTGCTGGAAGGGAAATAGATTGGACCAAAGGAGAGGAAAAAATGAAGGTAAGTTAAAATCACTTACCTTTCAGTTAGTAGCTGAAGTTTTTACCACTATACAATCTTTTAATTTTTTTTTGTCTGCCATTACTTGTTACAAATAACTCTATTCTTTCAACTTACCCTTCCTGCATAGTGCATAATAGTGAATGCCATGCCTTGATCTTTGAGGGCAACATTTCCATTTCCATCTTTACTGGGGGAGTACACTGCATTTGTGTTTGAGGATTCCAGGAGACTCTGTAGCTTTTTTGGAAAGCTTGTTTCCATTGACCAAAGCATCTCACATTCTTCATCCAATAAAGAGAGAAAACCAGATGGCTTCTGAAAATTAAGAGACAATAATGATTTTTTTTTGTGGTTTGTTTCACTCAATTTGTCATTTCTGCTATTATTCAATATAAACATATTCATATAGTTTTTATTCATATATACATGAACAACACATTAATATATATGAACAACAATATTTGAATAAATATTTATGAGCAGCAATAACGACACGAATACTGAGAAAATAAAGTTGTTGTTATGTGCCGTCGAGTCACTTTCAACTATAGCAACCCTATCTAAGACAGCTCTAAACCCTGCTCTATCTTCAATCAACTTCAGTGTCTCTGTCACACCTACCCCAAGTACCCCAGACACTGAGTCAATGCATCTCATCCAGGGTCTTCCTCTCTTGTTTTGTCCCTTCACCCTCCAAAGCATGCTGTCCCTCTCCAAGGACTGGTCGCCCATTACAACAAGCACAAAGTATCTCAGATGAAGCTTCAAACACCTTGCCTCCAAGGAGCAGCCTGGTTTCACCCTCTTCAGGACAGTCCTGTTTGTTCTCTTAGCAGTACATGGTATATTCAATACTCTTCTTCAGAACCACAACTCAAAGGTATTAATTCTTCCTCTTTCATCCTTAGTCATTGTCCAGCTTTCTGATGAATAGCAAGTAATTGTGAAGACCTTGGCTTGAATCAGGCACATCTTAGTCTCTAGACTGATTTCATTGCTCTTCAGTATTCTTGAGAGGTCCTTACTTTTAATATGCATTATTTTTATTTTGCTAAGTGTTGTTACATTTATATTACTTAGAGCTGGACAATGACTAGGAATGATAAAAAGAGAATTGATGCCTTTGAGCTGGGGTGCTGGAGAAGAATGTTGAATATACCATGGACTGCTAGGACTGCATACAGGTTTGTCCTGGAGAGGGTTAAACTTGTCTGCTCCTTGGAGGCAAGGATTCTGAAGCTTTGTCTGACAAACTTCGGGCATGTTGCAAGGAGGGACCAGTCCTTGGAGAAGGACATCATGTTTGGGAGGGTGGAGGGACAGTGCAGGAGAGGAAGACCCTCAAAAAGATGGATTGATTCAGTGACTGGGATAATGGGAGTAGATGTATCAGAGACAATAAGGTTGGTACAAGATAGAGCAGGGTTTAGGGCTCTTGTACATAGATGGTTTCTATGAGTCACAAGTGACTCGATGGCATATAACAACAACAATAACAACAGTATAGCTTATATTCAAAACAGATCCTCAAAAGTATTTTAAGTGATAGATGAGTATACAAATGCAATTAAAAAGTATCTTATTTAGTAAGAAAAATCAAATTCTAACTATAAGATAACTACAAGTAAGTGATCCTTTTCCCTCTGTAATTTATTCTTTACACATAATTCATACTGAGCATTTCATACTTTCTGGAGCACAAAAGGAACAAATGTCTTACCAAAAAATGATCCTGACGTGCAGTAAATATTTTTTTTAAATGTTAAAATCCCACTTAAAAGAAAAGAAGGGGTTTTTTTAATACTCTAGTATTTAAATCTAGAAAAAAAATTGTTTGTAGATGACATATATAACTTCAAATTATAAGTCTAATACTTTATAGCTGTTCCAAAAGGAAACCAAGTCATACAACAAATAAATTTAAAATTTAATCTCACATGAATGAGAATGCTACTTGAAAGAACTTCCCTACCTTTAATATGTCATCTCTCCAGAGTGACACTGTTTTTTTCCTCCAGAGTTTAGGAACTGGTTGGATTAAATTTTGTTGTTGTTGTTTTATTAATTTTTACTTAGTGCTGTATATCTACATTTATCCCTTAAGTTGTTAGAAAGTTTGTTTTAACCTTTTGTTGTTGACGAAGTAAGTCTACCTTTTTAAATAAGGCAATTTATATAATTTCTTTACATTGTCAAATATTTTAATTTATAACATCAACCTGATGCACTTGATAACATATTTTAAAAATTTTATTGACCAAATTGACATACAATAACTACATATAAAGTGTATAATTTGATAAATGTATATATATAATTTAAAAACCTATAAACAATTATCATAAATCAAAATAATGAACATATTATTCCAAAGAGTTTCTTATTTTCAAAAATTGTGATTTAAAGAAAATTTACAGAAATACTGAGGGTTTCCATTTATTCACTGATACCCCTTTCCCTCCACCCTTTTCCTTTCCTTCCCCTGCCCCCAATTCACTTTGTGATACACGTCTTATGACAGATTGTTGTCATACATACAGTGCCTAATCATACATTCCTTTCAAACAGCCATTTCCTTCATCAGCTCCAGTAAAGTGTCCAAGAGTAGACAGATAATGAACCTGATGCAATTCATAAATATAAATGGCATAAATAAAATAAAGTCTCTCCCAGAAGGGAACTCTGGTAACTCCTGTAGTTACTTCTGTTTGTATTGTGATCTGAAGTCACCATACCACAGCACAGACATTCCATAATGTCATTTATCTCGCTAATAAAACATTTGTGTTTTAAACATTTTAAGTATTTTTAACAAGGCGGGGCCATTCTGACGCAACCTGCTGAAAATTTGTATTAGCAACTTAAATATACTGAAATTCTGCATCTTGGCAAAATTCCTTTTCTTATAAATCCCTACGTGATCCTTATGTACATGAGTCATCTAGAGATTTGTTAAAATGTAGAATCTGATTCAGTAAATGTGTGGTGGTGGTGTTGTTGCTGTATACCTTCAAGTTGGAACTGGCCCATAACCGACCCTCAAGCACATTTTCAAATGCAGTTAATCGCAGGGGAGAATATGGCCCATCCTTCGCCTGCAGAGCAGCTGGTGAATTCACACCACATGCCTTTGGGGATACAATGAAGCTTCTTACCACTAGGCCACCAAAGCTCCCTATATATGACTAATTTCCAGGGTAGAAATGTAAATTCTTAGCAAGAAGCGTACTGGAATAAACCTGATTTAAAACCATGCTCATATTAAAGAACATTGAAAGGCCACATGCAATTGTCTTCAGTGAGATGATTCAGAAGTTATACAATGAAAATTAAAGTTAAGGATAATTGGTTGCATTGTTGCTCTCATCCTTGAGTTAGAATCAACTCATAGCTAATTCTCTTGTAGGTTTTCAGAGGCAGTAAACTACATGGCAGTTTCCTCTCTTTCTCCCAGGAAGCAGCCATTGGATTCGAATTTGCATGCCTTCAGGTTAGCTGTGCAGCTCCTTACCACTGGGCCACCAAAGCTCCCAGTATATGTTAATGTAGCTAAAGATGTGTCTACTAACTCAAAGAGGTTTAAGGATAGCTGGTACTGGAAAAGAGAACATGGCTTGCAGTGCTGACACTAGAGGATACAGTTGTGGAGATATATTGCAACTGTACACAGTCATTTGCAAATTTAGTTCCCAGATGAAACACCAAATTTACTCTCTGGTATGGAAAGGGAAAAGATCAACTAACAAGCTAGTAACTGATTCAAAGAGGGAATTAGGGATGCCTGAAAATGCAAATCTACCCACCTGAGCTAATTTCCTACAGCCAACAATACTTGGAGAGACATTTTGTTTGATCAAAATCAATATATTTTTTGATGCGGAAATTTAGAAAAGCATGCCTGTTACAAGGTTTGTTGCGTCAATACTCGATAGTACATTGCAAAAATGTTGGGGTGGTCAGAGACCCTTTAAAGCTCCTCATGAAGAGTCCATATATGAGGAAATTGATTTTAAAAATAAAAACAATCTTTGTACCCAAACTGTCTGGTGGCGCACCCTTGAAAGAAACTGATCTTTATAAGGAGTTTACTGAGAGGTAGTCATGCCAATTTCCTATTTAAACTTTTTAAAACAAATTTTCTGAAGAGCAAGTAAAATGTTGATATTACAATGTCAAGTTTTTTTCTCTATCGTATCAATTTGAACATTTGTCATAACACTTCTCCATATGTTGCTATTGGCAAACATACAAACCAACACACAAACTTGTACATGAGAATACATAGAGATTGGGGACAACTCTATTATTTAAAGGCTATCAGCAAGTCTGCTCATATTTCAGAGGAACTGATAGATTTTCTCTATTTTAATTTTCTTTTGAAAGCCCTGAAATGTGTCTCTAAGAGACAAAGACTTTAGTTTTGTCTCATTTCATTTCATTTCATTTAAAGGTAAAGGACTGCCTAGAAGAAAGCTAAAGCAGTCTGCTCCAGAAACCAAAACGGTGTTTTTCAAGGAGTTGCTAACCAAAAAAATTTTTAAAACTGATATGTACAATTATAATGTCACCAAAAGTTTTAAACTTCTTATGTGTCATGCTTTCTGAATGTTTGAAGTAACAATAGGATTATAATAAGACAATCTTCTAAATGTAGAAACATTACAGAAGTGTTTGAAGACAGAACATAGAAAATAAGTTATAACAAGAACCCTGATAACATTTTATTTCTTAAGGAAGAAAGCAATGATTGTTAACAGTTACTCAATATTTCACTTCAACAGTAACAAAACATTAAGTTCTTAAGAGTACAAGCAAATATTCTGAGAAATTGGTAACAATTTGGTTTGACTCTTTCAGTGACACCTTGAGAGACTGTCAGTTTAAAAACCTAGGTGCTGTCAGGGAATGGCGGCACCCAGACTGCAGGCCGCCTTGCTCACTTAGGGAACCCGAAAAAGCCTGTCCTCAAGCCCAACAAGCCCCCCATTCTAGCCAACCACGTCGGGGAGTGGCGCCGAGAGAAGGGCAAGGTGACCTGTATCACAGAAATGTCCGTTATGATGGCTTCCTGGAAACAATGAATTCTGTGAGGAAGCATGCAGAAAAGAGATTCAGGACTTCTTCGATTGTGCTTCAAGGGCCGAGGGTCCCTATGCATCTACAACTGGACTGCACACAACAACAGCAAAGTGAAGTTGATTATAATAATATCCTACAGAATTTTGTGAGTGTCGAATGAGGCAGCCCGCAAGAGGACGTCTATGCAGGACACCCTGGGAGAGTCTGGGAGTTCATTTCCCAAAAATCTGAATAAATTATTAATAAGTTTTCCTAACAAACCTTATGTCCATTGAAAATGAACACACACTTTTAGTTATTGGATTATAGTTCCTGAGAACTACATGGAGATGTATTTGTGTGTCCTCAGTGAAGGGTTGTTGTTGTTATGTGCCGTTGACTCACTTGCGACTCATAGCGACCCTATCTACAACAGCCCTAAACTCTGCTCTGTCCTGTGTCAATTGCACTGTCTCTGACACTCCCATCCTGATTACCCCAGTCACTGAATCAATCCATCTCATAGAGGGCCTTCCTCTTCTGTACTGTCCCTCCACACTACCAAGCATGATGTCCCTCTCCAAGGACATCATGTCCAAACATCATGTACTTACAACATGTCCAAAGTATGTTAGATGGAGCCTCAGAATCCTTGCCTCCAAGGAGCTGCCTGGTTTAACCCTTTCCAGGATGAATATGTTTGTTTTCCTAGCAGTCCTTGGTACCCTCAATACTCTTCTCCAGCACCACAGCTCAAAGGCATCAATTCTCCTTCTATCCTCCTTAGTCATTTTCTAACTCTCTGATGCATAACAAGTGATAGCAAGGACCAGAGCCTGTATCAAACGCACCTTAATCTCCAGAGAGACACCATTGCTCTTCAGTACTTTGGAGAGGTCCCTAACAGCAGACTTTCCCATGGCAATGCGCCTTTTAATTTTCTGGCTACTGGTGCCAAGAGTGTTGACTGTGGAGCCAAGCAAACTAAAGTAGTACTAAGGAAATGGTTTTATGTTTTTTTGTTTTTTTTTTCACCCTCTGGAATCATGGTCTTGTGGTGCTTACTTGGAAATAAAATCATGGTCTAGCAGTGGCTACGTGGAAATAAAATCCTTTGAAGAGAAAAAAAAAAAAACCAAACAAAAAAACAAAACAAAACCCTCCAGGTCCTTTAGATCAAGGTGACCCAAGTGAGGGTATTCTCAGTTGCATCATATAAAGGTGAAACCTGGACAATAAATAAGGAAAATAGAAGAAAACACGGTAACTTTTGAATGGTGGTGCTGTCAAAGAGAATTATACCATGTTGTTGTTTTTTGTGTGCTGTCAAATCAGAACTGACTCATAGCTGACCCTCTAATGAGTTCTCAGAGACTATAAATAGCACAGGAAGAAACAATCTATCTTTCTCCCACTGAGCATTTGGTGGATTTGAACCTGTGTCTTTGGGATGGCAGTGCATTTTCAAATGAACAAACATATCTGTATTTGACAAAGTGTAGCCAGTACACCCCTTAGAGGCAAACATGGTAAGACTTTCTCTCACACTCTTTGAGCATATTTCCCCTTATAATTTCTTTAATTTTAGGTATTAAAACCCTCTGTTAAGTCTCTACTATCGAGTTGATTTCAACTCATGGTAACCTTCCAGTAGTTTTCAGGGGTTATAAACCTTTGCAGAAGAAGATTGATAATGTCTTTCCCTTGGAATCACTGGTGGATTCAAACTGTCACTCTTTGTATTAGCAACCCGGTAAGTAACATATTAAACTACCAGGGCTCTTTTGGTTTAGCTGTTATTTTATAAAATATTAATAGTGTGCATTAAACATTTGTAAGCATGAAAAGTAGAGTTTTAAGAACAAAACAAAAGAGGAATATATATATTCAGGGACCTCTCGTGGTGTAGTCTGTAGGGAGTCATGCTGCTTATCCAGAGGTTTAGACCTGCACATACCTGGCAGCTCTAATCCACCAGGAGCTCAAATGGTGAATTAAGGGCAAGCTCATCCTGTGCGATTTACTGCCTACATAGACTCGCTAGAGTAAGCAAGACTTGGTTCCCATTTTATGGCAATGAATTTGAGAGTTTTAATATATATGTGTGTGTATTTTTTTAAAAACAAAATAATCCCTTCTCTCCCTCTCCCTCTCCCTTTTCCCTCCCTCTCTATGTATGCATGTATGCATATATTGATCTTTCAATGATTTGATGATCTTTTCAGAAAAAGAGAACTTTTGCTCTTCAATATAATTTGAAAGATTATTAATATATTGCAGTGTCTCACATACAATGATAGCTCAAAATAAGGGAGCTTTAAAATATTCTTTTCTTTAGTATATTTAAATGCATGCATCTTGTAAAGAATCCAATTATACTTTGTGAATACCTGGAAAAAAAAGTCCAAAACTCCAGTCTGATTACCAGGAGAATATGCTGTTTCCATGGTAACTCCTTCTTGTACACATTCTGTTTGTTCTTGTAGAAAAAGCACTTCATTGATATAGTGGTGTATCTTTTCATTGGTCATGTTGACACAAAGCTATTGTGGAAGGGAAAAAAAGAAACAATTCAGAAGATAATCCAGCAATGAAGATTCACTCAGTCTATGTCTGTTTCACATGGGTGAAATATTGAATCAACAACTTTTAAACCAAATAATCTACTAAGATAAAGTGTTTTCAAATTGTCTACAAAATCAAATTCACATTGTTTTACTTTTCCGATTATTCATTTTAAGGTATGTTAAAAAACCAAAAAGAGTAAAAGTAATGGCATTATCTTCAAGATATTTAATTCAAGAATATATTGGAAAATCCAGAATATTTCTAATATAAAATGAAATTATCCTTTTCATCAGCAAATGGAGAGCAAAGCTGGGTTTAGTAGGAGATTCCAAGTCTCACTTTCCTTGTATTTATTTTGGATTGCTGATGGTAAGAGAAAAGATTAAGTCCTTTATGGGAAGAAGAATGAGTCCAAGCATTTTCTATGTCAATAAGATTATCTTTCTAAATTCTTCTGAATATCTATTTTCCCTTTCCTATATATCATTGCTATACAAGAGTAAACATGACATCTCTCAAATCTTATGATTGGAAAGTAAGTTACAAAAGATAAAAAATATTTTATCAAAAAATCTTGAATTTTAAATAACTCAAATATTGTTGTTGCATTGTTGATTGCCTTCGAGTTGAGCATGACTTATAGTGACCCTATGAACAAAAGGCCTGAAGCCTTTCTATAACTATTAACATTTATCAAAGTTCATAGAGTTTTTCAAGGCATGTTGTTTAGGAAGTGAATGCCACTGATGCTTCCAAAACCAAAATGAAATATCTGTTCAGGTTACCTTCTCTATAACATCTAATTTTTCTACTATTATTCATATCACAAACCTTAAAAGGTTGTTTCCATTTATTATCTAAAATTCCTTTCCTCTCATTTTTCATTCCAACTACTCATGCCCTTTATTTTTCTAGAAAAATTTATCCCACAATAATTACCAGTGAACAACAAATATGATTAATAAACTTCCATTCAAATAAAAAGAAAATAAATTTTAAAATTAAATAAATACAATAGTAAATAAATAGTTAAGGCAAATATGGTTGGAGTGATCAAACCAATTCTTATTAATAGCAGTCACATGTGCTTGAGTAGCACTGGGCACCACAGGTTTTTTAAAGGCCAATTTTGGGGAAGTAAATCACCAAGATTTAATTCTGAAGCACCTTGAGGTAGACTCATGTTTTTAATCTTTTGGCTTTTGTTATTGTTGTTATGTACCATCAAGTAGGAACGGACCTACAGCTGACCATCTAGTGGGTTTTAAAAGACAGTAATTCACATGGGAGAAGACTGCCCATCTTTCTCTCATGAAGCAGCTGGTAGATTCAAACCATGTGCCTTTAGATTGACAGCAGAGCTCCATACCACTAGGCCACTAGAGCTTACCTTGGCCCATAGCTTATTTAGTCCATTAACTGGTTTCACCACTTATAGATTCTATACCAGTTGTCCTCAAATCTATTTAAAATTATGGAGAGCAGAGCAATAGAGTCTGTACAGAATATCTGGCAAATGGATAAGATACTGTTTAGCTGCTAAGAGTGTGGCACTTTTGTCCACTTAAGTTGTTCTTCAAACTTTGTAAGAGATACCAGTGGATACAGATTCTTATCCTTCATCTGTTATTTTTATCATATTCTACATGTAAATAGACTCTTGTTGTTATAAGCCATGAAGTCAGAACTGACTCATAGCTGACCTTCATCAGTTTTTCAGAGGCTATAAATTACACAGGAGGAGACTGCCCATCTTTCTCCTGTGGAGTAGCTAGTTGATTCTAACTATGTGTCTTTGGATTGGCAGTATATCTTCCTACTACTAGGATATGTATTTTAACATAGAGAATTAGTTTTAGATAGAATTTTAGTAGAAGAAAAGAAATAGAAATTTTAAAAAATGACTTTACTTTGATCCCCTCAAAATAGCATTTTGATAAAAATTCAAGTACTTTAAATCCAAAATAACAAAATCAATAATGCAGAAGCTGTCAACAGGTTGGAAGGACAGTACAGCCAATGAAGAAAAAGTAGATGATGTTATAATATTAATCTAATATAAAATAGACTTCAAACTAAAACACAGCAATAGAGATAAGGAGAAATAAATATTAAAAGATGGTTAAAAGGGTCAACAGAACAAGAGGAAGAACCTTAATTATTAGAGTCACAAAGAGATAAGCTGCAAAATATGCAAAAAACAATAGACTTGAAGGCATAAATAGACAACACCAACAGTAATAGTTATTGTTTTTTTGTTAGGTGCCATTAAATCTAGTTCAACTCATAGGGACTCTATGAATAATGGATCTGAGCCCTCTCTTATCCTGTGTTATCCTCACAATCTCTGATACATTGCTGTACTCACTGTGCAATCACTAGGTTGAGGATCTACCTCTCCTTTGTTTTCTCTTCAGCTTAAAAGAGCAAAAGCAGTTCTACAAGGTCAGGTCATACCAAAGGACAACTACATAAAAATGGAGAAAGAGCTAAATTAACTTCTTAACACAGCACACAAGAGTGAAGTCAAGGACCCTCCACTAAACCATCACAGAGTAGAGAAGAGGAATCTGGCTGCACCACATCACAGACTAAGGAGAGTAGACAAAAGAACCAGAGATTAAATTGGTGTCCCTTGTCTCTGACCTCCTCTGAGACAAAGGGCAATAGGCTTTGGGGAAAAAGACATCACCTGGGGCACATCCCTCCCTCATTGCATAGAAACATCAATATCACGGGGTAGTGGAAAGGAAGTAAATGGGAAGAAGTGACTGGAGACCTGAGCTATCAAACCAAGATAAACTAGGGGTGAGGGAGGAGATGCTGGAGGGGCAAGGAGAGGGAACTGAGCTGCATGCTAGTAGAGCATGGGTGGTGTTGCAAATAAGACATATGTGCCTAAGGGGTTGATGGGCAGGGCCAAAAACCTGAGTAATGGGAAGGGTCTCTCACCTACTCTTTTGGGCAAAATTCTTATCTGTAAAATATTGTTCTAGAATTAAGCATCCAAAGTAAGATGTACTAGGGGGAAGGATTGGCTATCAACTCCTGAAACAACAGGCCTCAGAAAACCCTACATCCAATAGATCACACTTAGAGTACAGTAGCAGATATGACATCTGAGGCAAAAACTTCTTACTGGGAATCACAAAAGAGGAGGAACAGTTGCAAACAGACACTACTGATTGGATCCCGAAATGTCAGAAGTACGTAGAATGACCAGATATTGTTAAGGAAGAAATGGAACTCATATATACTGACATACTAGACATTGGTGAAATAAAATGTGTTCACTTGGGACTGTAGTTAAAAAGACCATTGCTAGATCCATCTTGAAATACAATGTTGTGAGCAACAGGATAATATAATATCCAAATGCATACAAAGAAGACCTGGTAATACTACTAGCACTCAAATATATGCACCAACAGCCAGGGCAAAAGAGGAGGAAACAGATGATTCCTACCAAATTTTGCTTTGGAAATCAATTGAAATTACAAGCAAGATACTTTGATAATAATGACTGATTGGAATTCAAAAGTTGGGAACAGGGAAGAAACATCAGTAGTTGGGAAGCATGGACATGGTGACAGAAATAAGGCTGGAGATAGAACAATAGACTTCTGTACAATCAATTACCTATTCATTGCAAACAAATTTTATAAGAAACATAAATGGTGACTATACACATGGACTTCACTTGATGGTCTACACAGGAATCAGATTGACTACATATGTGGAAGAAATTGCTGGAGAGGGTCAATATTAGCTCTCAAAACTAGGCCAGGTGCTGATTGTGGAATAGACCATCAACTACTCATATGCAAGTTCAAAATGAAGCTAAAGAAAATAAAATCAAATACACAGGAACTAAAATTTTACTTTGATTCTATACTACCACAATTTAACCATCATCTCAGGAACAGATCTGAAGCCTTGAACACTAATGAGCAAAGACCAGATGATCTGTGGAAGCATATAAAAAATATCATTCATGAAGAATGCAAAAAAAAATCATTACAAAATGACAGAGGAGGAACAAAAGATCAAAACAGATGTCAAAGGAGACTGTGAATATTGCACTATAACATCACAAAGCCAAAGAAAAGGGAAGAAATCAAGAAGTTGAAAAGTTGAATGGAAGATTTAGAACGGCAGTTCAGGAAGACAAAGCTAAGGATTTGAATGAAATGTACAAAGAGTTGGAGTTGGATAACCAAAAGGGATGAACTCGCTCAGAATTTTTTAAGCTGAATAAACTGAAGAACAAGTTAGTTTAAATCTCTTGTTGCAATATTTAAGAATACTAGAGCAGAATGTTGAATGACCCAAGAAGCATCAAAAGAAGATGGAAGCAGCACACAGAGTCAGTATACCAAAAAGAATTGGCTGTCACAGAAGAATGAAACAGCATATGATCAAGAGCAATGGTAATGAAGGAGTAAGTTTAAGCTTCTCTGAAGGAATTGGAAAAAAACAAGGCCCCATGAATTGATGGAATACTAGCTGACATATTTCAACAAATAGATGGGGCCCTGCATGTGCTCACAAGGTTATGCCAAGAAATCTAGATTACAACTACTTTGACAACTAACTGGTAAAGATCTATATTTATTCCCAAATGGAAAAAAAAGTAACCTGACAGAGTGTGGAAGTGACCAAACAATATCACTAATACCATACACAAGCAAGATTGTGGTAAAGATTATCCAAAAACTCCTGGAAAAGTACTTCAACTGAAAACTTGCCAAATGTACAAGTGGAGTTTAGAAGAGGCCATGGTACTAGGAACATCATAACCAACGTTAGATGGATCTTGGCTGAAAGAAAAGAGTACCAGAGAAATGCTTTTCTGTGTTTCTTTGGCTATGCAAAGACATTTGACTGGGTGGATCACAACTAACGGTGGCTTAATTTAAAGTAGAATGTGGATCCCAAATTGCTTAATTGCACTCAAGCAAAACCTTTATTTGGC